GTTATTTATCCAACTTCAAGAAAGACGAGATTCTATACTAAATGCACGTGACTAAATAAAACAGTCAGCTTTTAGGGTACCGCTGTTATACAAGAAACCCGCATATTTTAGTTCTGTCTATAGTCTATTAATGTGTCATTATAATTAATAGATTTTGTCTACTAAATATAAATGTAGGTAAAGTAAGAAATGTAAGGACATGAATGTATACTTCCTGCATGGAAAGGACAGTACAATTGAGGCCTACTATTAAACCTGTAAAGTGGGGCTAAGGCTAAATTTTGTTTGTCTTCCTATTTTCATGGAACCATTAGATAAAGATCTTTTTACACGTTCGTTGCGGTAAATATAATATCTGACGTGGTAATGCAGAAGCCGCAGAAGGTCTGTTTGACCTGTTTCTACTAAATGGTGGGTATATATATTTGGGAAATGTTTATGTTAATTAAATAAAAAATATGAACTGTTGTCATCTCTGGATGGGCTAATAATATAGTCGGAAATTAGCAAATGAGAACATCGAGTGAAGTCGAGAAAACTGATTCAGCCCTAAAATAACCTGAAAAAAGAATTCTGAAGGCTCTCACTTTTAATTAAACTTTCTCACTTTAATTTGTATTTGTAGTTGTAAAATTATTTGTCCTGTTACTATAATAAGAGATAATCTTTTATCTATCTCGCCTTTATCAATATATTCTTTTCAGTTCCATAATATACTCATGGAACTGGAGAGAGATACAATGTTAAAGATTTTTATGATAAATGCCGGAAATCTTTTCCAGACGATAGTTTTTAAATGCCTTAAAATTACATTTTAGATGGATAATAAACATTTAGAAGAATTAGGTTTGACAACGGACGAATTAAACCAAGATCAGCGACGCCAAACCACAATTTGGCTAATGATGGTTGCGCTTTTGGTGTGGTTAACTTCGTATATTTCAGCCGTAACAGTTATATTGTTCCTTGACATTGGACTAACATCGAAAACAGTTTTAAGCGAAGCTTTCTATTGGCCGAACGAGACAATAGCTTTTTTGGACGAAGAGATGATAAATTCTTTATATGCTGTATAATTCCACATTCACTTGTTTATACACGCTGTGCGCAATAAATATTTTGTTACTTCGTGTCAATATATCAATTTTCTCATCAAGTCGCATTTCTATAGTTTTTCAATACTACACTTATAGTAGGAATTTCAAACTCAAACTCAAACATTTTATTGCGTTCATGTGGTTACATAAATAGTTCTTATGTTGGATATATTAGAGCCAAACATGAGCCCTGATAGGGCGTAGCAATATTATGTTATATATCAATTTAATCTAATTAATTTAGAAAGATGAATTTTATTTTATTTACTTAAACTAAACATTACTTTTAGGTTTAATAAACATTTGCAATATTTACAACGATATCAAAGAGGTATACATATTCTAATTAAACAATTATTATTTTTCACCGAAAAACTCTGACAACGAATAGAAACTTTTTTCAACTAAATATTTTTAAGCTCTCTTTTAACTTTATACAACGATTCTTCTTTTTGTAGACATTTGGGAATTTTATTATAAATTTTTACACACATACCATTTCTCCACTGTCGTACATATTAACTAACATTCAGACAGAATAATTATTAATAGACCAAACAATTATCATGTTCCGTACGGGATTAGGCCTTGGACACCGCAATGCCGCAACTAAATGCTTAGCTACTGTGTGGTGTCAATTTAACAGGCGAATTTGCGGAGTTGAAAATATCTCGCATCTGTTACACTGCTTTATATCGCCAGTATTGGTATTTTCTACGCCATGAAATCTTTTCATAGTTGACTCACATACGATACCTTGCAGTATAGTGTCGGTGTAAGACATTCCACTACTTCTTAGTATCATTCCGTGGGTATCGTATAAAAGGTTTTCGCCTCTTATGAGAGAAATGAAACAAGAGATGGTTTGCAGGTTATTCCTGATTACATAACAAAATAAAAACACACTATATACATGAGGAGGAATTTTGAAAGGAGTTTGACCGCGTTTCTGTATTATGGATCAATTAATAATTTGAAGTGGATTATGACATGTTGAAATAAAAATAAAAATAATTAAGAACATTTTATTTTAGTGTATGAAAATAACATAATAATGCACTAAATATTTCTTACTTTATATGTGCTCTTTTTTTTTTTATAGAAGAGGGGGCAAACGAGCATGTGGCTCACCTGATGTTAAGTGACTACCGCCGCCCATGATCAACCGCAACACCAGGGGGAATTGCAGGTGCGTTGCCGGCCCTTTAGAAAGGAGTAAGCTTTTTTCTTGAAGGTCCCCAGGTCGTATCGGTCCGGAAAAATCACCGGTGGTAAATTATTCCACAAAGAGGTTGTACGCGGAAGAAAACTCCTTTTGAAACGTACAGTGGTGGACCGCCAAGCATCCAGATGGTGTTGATGGTATCGGGACGTTTGCCGTGTAGTGCGTTCACGAAATTTGGCGGCTGGGATTAATCCGAACAATTCCTCAGAGCACTCCCCGTGATAGATGCGATAAAATACGCAAAGAGATGCAACATCTCTTCGCAGCGCCAGTGAATCGAGCCGATCGGAAAGCACTCGGTCGTCGACGATTCGAGCCGCTCTGCGCTGGATGCGGTCAAGTGGAAGGAGCTGGTACTGGGGAGCCCCAGCCCAGAGATGGGAACAGTATTCCATGAGCGGCCGAACCTGCGCCTTGTAAAGTTGCAGGCGGTGTGCCGGCATGAAATACTGTCCCGCTCTGCTGAGCACGCCAAGCTTTTTAGAGGCCAATTTGGCCTTCCCTTCCAAGTGACTACGAAACTGCACGTCACTCGATATGTCGACGCCGAGGATTCCGATACTGGCTGAGGCAACAAGGGGAGTGCCTTGAAACTGAGGGGATACGACAAAGGGGTTCTTTTTAGCGGTTAACGCGCAAACTTGTGTCTTCTGGGGGTTAAACTGGACTAGATTTAGTCGCCCCCAATCCGAGACTCTGTCCAGCAGAGACTCGACTTCAGACACAAGTTTGTCCCGGCACTCAGAGACGTTTTCCCGAGAAATATTGGCTCGGCCGGTGTAAAGAGCATCACCAGTGCTGTCATCTGCATAGCAATGAATGCTACGGGTTTGCAACATATCATTGATATGCAGAAGAAACAGCGTTTGCGATAGCACGCAGCCCTGTGGAACACCAGCATTAATAAGCTTGCAATCGGAGCTTGCACCGTCTACAACGACCTTGATGCTCCGATCTGCAAGAAAACTGGTGATCCAATCGCACAATTTCTCGGGAAGCCCATAGGAAGGGAGCTTCGAAAGAAGCGCTTTGTGCCAAACCCGATCGAAGGCCTTCGCAATGTCCAAACTAACGGCCAATGCCTCCCCCCTTGGACTCTACTGCCTCCGCCCATCTGTGAGTTAGGTAGACCAGAAGATCACCAGCTGACCTACCACGGCGAAAACCGTATTGGCGGTCACTAATCAGCTGGTGATCCTCAAGGTACCTCATGAGCTGGCAGTTTACAATGGACTCCATTGTTTTGGAGAACAAGGAGGTGATGGCGATAGGCCGGTAGTTGGACGGGTCTGAGCGGTCGCCTTTTTTAGGGATCGGGTGGACGAAAGCCGTCTTCCATGATTTTGGTACTACGCCTAGGGAGTAGGAGTACCGGAAAAGACGCGTTAAAACCGGTGCCAACTCTGGAGCACACGTCCTCAGCACAATTGGGGGGGATTCCGTCAGGCCCACTCGACTTATGGATGTCCAGGGAGAGGAGTGCTTTGCGAACCGAGCGCTGAGTGAACTGCACTTCCGGCATGGAGCACTCACACCGCGGGATGGTCGGCGGCGTACTCCCCCCGTCATCGAGAATCGAGTTAGACGCAAAGAAAGAGCCTAGAAGATCGACTTTCTCCTTTGCGGTGTGGGCCAGTGAGTCGTCCTCCCTGTGCAGAGATGGAAGAGATGGCTGACAGAAATTCCCCTGGACAGCCTTGGCGAGAGACCAGAATGCACGGGTTCCAGAAGGAAGACGAACTAGTCTCTCGCCAATTCTGCCTATGTGCTCTGACTTTGTCCTTGGCAATGACTCTTTTGAAGGACCTAGAGGCGGAATTATACTTCTTTTTTAGAGCGCTGGTGTTTACATCCCTGGACGCTGATGCGTCAGCCCAGGCTCGGTAGCACTCCTGCTTATAGCATGATGCTATTTTACAGGAGCGACCAAACCATGGCTGAGATTTGCCTCCAACGGGCACCACAGAGGAAGGAATAAAAAGTTCCATACCCTGAAGTACCACATCAGCGACAGAATCCGCAACAACGTTGGGATCGTCCGGCGAGAAGCAAACCCGCCCCCAAGGGTAGGATGCAAAGAAAGACCGCCTCCCCTCCCACTCGGCTTACCTATAGTGCCAAACACGGCGGCAGCCTGCAGAATGCAACCGCGATTTCAGCGTGAGTGGCACCACACTCCGGACAAGACACGGACAAGACGGTCTTTTTGGCTATTAGGCAAAGCCATCAATCGGAACTTGACCACCGACGGAACTCTAACTCTATTAGAGAGAACGACGAGACAAGGGCTCGATGTGATATAAGCCTCAAGCTATTTTTATCGTTTAGGCGCGTTATGATCTTGAGTGACTGTCGTCATAGACTGTCCATTGGGATGAGCTGTCGTTAAAATCTCCCAAAAACTTTGCAATGTGACGCATTAGCACATTGTAAAGGAAAAATTTATAATACTGAATGAAATGAAGACATGGCTTAAAGATGAGTATCCAAGCAAAAATCGTAATAATAAAAATTACAATTTGACATAAATTACCAGACAGATGTCAAAAGAACTAACAAATTATTTTTGTTTTGTCAATTTTCATCAACAAAATAAAATACACATATTCGCGTTTGTTCTACATGAATATTCATTCTTTAGTGAAGAAATTAAAGTAGTTCCCTAAAACTCAAACAAAATGACCGATTGGCAGTTAGAATGTACGGAGCTGAAACAAAGAGGTGCATATCTTTTGCAATCTGGTCAATGGTCAGACTGTACATTTTTAGTCGGCACAGAACCCCATCAAGTGGTTATTGCTGGCCACAAATTAATTTTGGCGATGTCTTCTCCCGTCTTTGAAGCTATGTTTTATGGTGGTATGGCAGAGAGGAATGATCCAATACCTATTTTGGACGTGCAAATTGATGCCTTCAAAGCGCTTTTGGAGTATGTATTTTCTATTCTTTTTAATTTTTCTTGGTAATCCAAGCTTAGTAAGTGAATTGAAGGCTTATGTAAATATCAGTGAAACGGAACCATATTGACCCAGACTCTTATTGTATAAGGCTATAGCTTAATAGAACTCTTTTTAATTAATTTTGCATCTTATTGGATTGTTACTAAAATAACAAACTCTTTTTAGATATATGTACACTGGAAATATCAACATAAGTTCTTTTGACAAAGCATGTGAACTTTGTTATGGAGCTAAAAAATACATGCTGCCGCATCTTGTTAAGGAGTGTACAAGGTACCTTTGGTCAGATCTATATCCAAAAAATGCATGCAGAGCATATGAGTTTGCAAGGTTGTTTGAAGAAAATGTTCTCATGGAAAAGTGCATCCAGGTAAAGGAGGAATTTAAAACTTTATACAAAATAATTTATTAAAATAGTCCAATGGTTATAAAAAAATTAGTTAGAAAAATCGACTGTGTAAAAATGAGTACTAACAAGTAGTAAACTTAAAAATATTGTACAACCGACTTCAATGTAAATAAAATGAGAATGTGAATGTAGTCAAAGTTAATTAAATATGCATTATTAAGGATAACTCAAATGACTGGTCAGATCTTGGTTAAATTTATAAGAGACCACATGAGGTGCACAGCTTTTAATAAAAAAAGAACATTAAAATCAGTTCACCTAAAACAAACTTCTGAGCACAACACACAAAAAAAACAGTTGAATTGAGAACCTCCTCTTTTTTTGAAGTTGGGTGAATAGAGTCACTTCCATGATTAAGAGAAATCTGACAACACCCCAAATGTTAAATTACATCATGCTACTGAGGCTACAAAGTGAGTGAAAGAAATGGACATGCATAATATATAAATACATACACTATAAAATCATCACAGTCAGTTTGGTTAGAAGAATTTCTAATTTTTTTTATTAACTTATGATAAAAACATTTTGTAATTATATGAATAAGAGTTTGTAAAATATGAAAATTTCAATAAAAATATACTTAATTTAACCCTTCAATCTCTTGGCGGTCGAATTTAACCGCGGCGCTATTCTGTCAAAATTCATGCAGTCGGATTCAACCACTTTAATTTAAACCATTAACACTTATATTTAGAGACTACTTTTCTATGAAGAAGTTTGGCATTATAGAATCAATGTAAAATTTTCTATCCTCTAGTGCAATAAAAATACAGTTATCCTATGGATATTTATTTATAATCTATGTTCGTTATGTACACCATTTTCGTGTGAATGTTATTATGTTGATTTTTGAATTTTTCTAGTGTTTTAGTATAGTGTTTTATTATAAAATTGTAATGAAAGTTTTTGTGTGAATATAATTTATCTTTTTATGTAAATAATTTCGAGTAATATATATTGAAATAATTGTGATTTTCACGCTACCGACATTCACTTGGTATGTTTTTTTTGTTATCAAAATAGAATAATCTTTTTGTAATGTAGTTAAACCTGGTTTTTATATAGAGAATTTTGTATAGATTTTATAATACCAAACTTCTTCATAGAAGAGTAGTCTCTAAAAAGAAGTTTTAAGTGCTGCGAGTGGGTGTGGTCACATGCAACCGCTCAGAATTTGCCAGGCACATGCGACTGCATGGGATTTTTATGGGGATTGAAGGGTTAAACTTTATAAGCTCACAATGTTTTCATTAGTAGTAACAATAAGATTTTACTAAATTGGAGGTATTCTTGTACATTTTTAATTTTAGATAATTAGTACAAATACCAAAGAGGTTTTAAATGACAGTAGTTTTGAAGATGTGGAACTGAATACAGTGATTACAGTATTCTCCCTTGATCATCTCAATGTGGACAGTGAGCTAGATTTATTTGAAGCAGCTGTGAGGTATGCCAAAGCTTTGGATAAGAGAGCATCAGAAAGAAGTGTCAGCCCACCTACAGAGGTTGTTGAGAGACAGAAGAGTCCAGCACCTTCTACTTCAAATGATCAAGTAAGATAAAAAGATATTTTGATAAAGATATATTGAAATGTAAAATAGAAGTGTTGTAACACTTAAAGCTATAAAAAATATCTTTTTTTTTATTCTGGTTTTATTTAGGGATTTTTGTTCGTTAACATGTCAATCCCATTAAAGCTAACTTAAAATCTATACATATGTTATTAACCTGCACATACTTAATGCAATATCTGAGGTGGGGGCATGTAGGATGCCCTGAGCAACACCTATATTGTACACATTTATATTATATGTTCTTACAAATAATTCCCTTGCCCCTCGGTTGCACTCACATTCCATTAAAAAATGATGTATGTCTTCAATTACTCCACAAATTTCACAGTTAGGTGAATCAGCTCTTTTCATCAGGTAAGAATTTTTTTTTTGATGGAATGTGACCTGCTCTTAATCTAAATATTAATTTAATAGTATTTCTGTTTAATTTTGTATCTATAAACCAAGGTATTCGAGGCGGTTCACTCTGTATCGTTTTATACCAAATACCTTTCGTTTTAGAACGTTCATTGAAAAATTCTTTCCATTTATTATAACATGAATTTTTTAATTTTGGTAATATTTCTGAGTAGCAAGGATCAATATAATACTCTACACCAGCGGTCGGCAACGCGCGGCCCGCGGGCCGCATGCGGCCTACTATGCGGCGACGTTCTACTTGCGGCCCGTGAATGTTATGTAAATAAATCCTAATAATATCAAAATAGATGCATAAACGAACTACAAACATATAGCGTATCGTATAGCTATAGTCAATATTGTATAACGCGCTTCGCTCTGCCCGCGGATGAAATGTGCATATATCAGAGATTAGTTTTTTTTTTACCTTGAAGCCTGACATTTAGCGTATTTAACATAACTGTAACATTAAAAGTATTATGTTGTAGCAAACATTATAAGTGTAAAATAAATAGGAATCTCGGACTATCTGTCCGCCGCGCGCGAACCCCGCACAACCGTATAGTAGTGTGGAACCCGCTTCGCTTGGCTCGCGAATGAACAATAATTAATGAACGACGCGCGGGAGGGGCGCGGGCGGAACAAACGAACGTTAGCGAGGACAGTTGCTTTCCGCTCTCCGTCAATTACCTACTTTGATGCGTGATTAGTGAAACAATTTCATTTGTTGCGTTTTTGTTTTGATTTCGGTAAGTGTGAGATTACTTTTTATTATACACTTTTGATAGGTACCGATCTACGTAAGCTTGGTCTGGTAATAATGCTTTTATTGTTACAGTTGATAATGGCTTCTAAAAAAAGGAAGTTAGCAGAAGAAAATAGGGTATTTAACGATGCATGGACAGATTTATACTTTTTTATTAATTGCAATGGCAAACCGCTATGCTTAATATGCCAAAAAACCCTTACTATACAAAAAGAATATAATGTCAAACGCCACTATGATAGCGAGCATAAAGCTAAATTTGCATGCGTAGTGGGTGAATCACGAAAAAAATAAAATTAACGCACTGAAATCTTCAGTTAAGAATCAACAAAATGTTTTTAAGGTTCAAGTACAAAGTAACGAGTCGAATATACGTGCAATTTTAAGGGTAGCGGAAATTCTTGCGAAGTCTGGCCGACCATTTACCGACAGCGAACTTATAAAACAATGTGCTTTAGTCATGGCTGAAGAGGTGTGCCCCGCCCTAAAAAAAAAATTTGAAAATATAAGTCTTTCTGCAAGAACGTGTACCCGGCGAACTGAAGATTTGGGCGATAATTTATGTCAGCAACTCCGGGAAAAAGCACAACAATTTGAATGGTTCTCTTTAGCTACCGATGAAAGTAATGATGTTACTGATACTGCCCAGCTTTTAATATTTGTTCGCGGAATCGATAAGAACTTTAATGTCTATGAGGAGCTTTTACATTTATGTAGTTTGAAGGGCACGACTACCGGAGAAGATTTGTTTTGTAACTTAGAACAAGCGCTAGTATCAATGCAATTACCATGGGAAAAATTGGTAAGTGTTACAACTGACGGAGGCAGGAACATGAGTGGACAAAATAAGGGTTTGGTAGGTAGAATCAAATCGAAACTGGCAGAGATAGGATGTGCCATCCCATTATTTTTCCATTGCATCATCCACCAAGAAGCGTTATGTTCCAAGGTCGTATCATGGAAAGAAGTAATGGACATCGTGGTATCGACTGTAAACTACATCAGAAAAAATGGATTGACTCATCGTCAATTTCAACAGTTTCTGTCAGATACGGAAGCAAATCATCGAGATGTTGTTTATTATTCTGAAGTGCGATGGTTAAGTAGAGGCGCAGTGCTAAAAAGATTTTTTGATCTCAGAAAAGAAATCAATACTTTTATGAATGAAAAAGGCAAATCTATTCCAGAGCTGACAGACACTCAATTGTTAATAGACCTTGGATTTTTGACAGATGTAACTCATGAATTAAATACGCTAAATGTGAGGCTTCAAGGTAAAAAAAAACTAATTTCTGATATGTACACAGACGTAAAAGCATTTCAAATGAAAATTAAACTCTCTATAAAACATATTGACGAAAAAAAGTTGGATCATTTTCCGAATTGTAAAGAGGCTGTTGAGGAAGCTGGAATTAAATTTCATTGGAAAATTGATAAAATGAAGGATATTTTAATACAACTGCAATCTCAATTCAGCGACAGATTTGGTGATTTTGAAAAAGTTTCAAGTAAACTGAAGGTGTTTGCAAACCCTTTTTCATGTGATATTGAGGAAGTACCGAGTAATTTACAAATGAACATGATTGATCTCCAGTCCAATGATGTTCTTAAAAGCACTTTCTATGAACTCAAAGATCTTGTTAAGTTTTATGGTAGCTTGCCTTCTGATTTTGACGAATTGAAAAAGTTTGCTCAGCAGTTCATTACAATTTTTGGTAGCACTTATTTATGCGAACAAACTTTTTCAATTGTCAATTACAGAAAAAAATAAATGTGCATCTCGTCTCACAGATGAGCATTTGAGAGCCATTCTACGAATTGCAACTACAAATATGACAGCTAACATACAAGAAATAGCCTCCCAAATACAACCTCAGACATCACACTGAAAGTATATTAGTAATTTTGTAGTTTTAATTTCTATTTTAATTCAGTTATTTTCTAGCTATAAACGTAATGTAATTACATGTACGAATTAAATTCCGTATGTTTTAACAATTTGAATGGCATTTTCATTTTTTCTATGGGATTTGATGAATAAATAAGTGTGTAAATCACAATTGCGGCCCGCCTTTAGTTTATTTTGCCACCTAGTGGCCCTTGCCCGCCAAAAGGTTGCCGACCGCTGCTCTACACCATTTATGCAAGCAGAATTCGCTAACCTATCCACCTCCTCATTACCCAATAAACCAATGTGTGCTGGAATCCATTGCACCCTTACACCGATGCCGCATAGACTGAACTGATTTATTTGCGAAAGTATGTCATAGGCTATCGAAACACCTCTGATTCCAGAGGCGGATCGAGCCAAATGTTGGATAGCAGTTTTGCTGTCCGAGTATATGATAATTTTGTTCCAGTTATAGCTTGCGGCATATTTTAGGGCTTCGGATATTGCAATGAGTTCAAGGGTCATAATACAAACGTCATTTGTAACTTTATACGATCTAGAAACTGCTTGAGATGGGTCAAGAAAAGCTGCCCAAAAAAAAAATATCTTAATATTCTTTTAAATATTAAAGATATAAATTCACAATTCTTAGACAAAATCTAACTGATGATTCTGAGTTTTTGCATTTTAAAGTACGAATGCATTTTGATTCACCTACGATTTGCCGACGAGTCCTTATGGCAGAATCGCTGGAAGACTTAAGCACTATGCTCAATGACCTCAATAGTGCCCATGTCACACCTATGCTGGTAGTTGTTCGGAGCACTAAGCTTGAAGATGTTGATTAGTACATTTACCTGGGACAAATAGTCCGACTAGGTAAGTCCAACTTCGACCGAGAGGTCAATCAACGGATTCAACTCGGCTGGGCAGCGTTCGGGAAAGTACGACGCATCGTCTCGTCAGGTATACCTCAAAACCTAAAAACTAGGTTGTACAACCAGTGCATGTTGCCAGTGATGACCTACGGAACCGAGACGTGGTCCTTCACTGCTGGCCGTATGAGGACGCTCAAAGTCGCTCAGCGAGCTATGAAGAGGGCTATGCTCGGAGTTTCTCCGCGTGATAAACTTAGAAATGAGGATATCCGCAGTAGAACCAGAGTGACCGACATAGCACAACGGATTAGTAAGCTGAAGTGGCAATGGGCCGGCCATATAGCTCGAAGAACCGACAACCGTTGGGGAAGAAGGGTTCTCGAGTGGCAGCCTCGTACCGGTAGGCGTAGTGTAGGGCGACCCCCCACTAGATGGAGTGACGACCTGGTAAGGACCGTACTTTGTGGCATACCTTGAGGGAGGCCTATGTTCAGCAGTGCACTTGTAAAGGGCTGTAATGATAATGATGATGAATTTTAAACCATAAAATATTTTACACATAAATTTTCCTGATTTCCATTTATTTATATTTACATGTTTATTTATATGTATATTAACTTAAAAAAAAATATTGAAATAATACTAGTTTTTACGGAATTTATCGCGTATATTTTAACTTTTTAAATACCCGACGTTTCGAACGCTTTACAGCACTCATGGTCACAGGCAGGACTGAGATGTTCAACGTCCATATGTCATAGTTAACCGCGGTTACAATAGATTAAAATTTAACTTTTGTTCCGATCTATGCAGTATGAACTTATGGTATCTTGAAGTCTTGCAGTTGTATGCTTGGGTTGGGATTTAATTTTATTTATTATAGGATCCCAAGCAGATTCAAATTCAAATTCAAATTCAAATTGTTTATTGCATGTCACATTACAAATTTAAGATGGTACAATTTTAATCGGTATACATGTGACGCCCCGCAAGGGCATAGCAACACTAGAGGGCTAACTATTTTCGTATTATCTAATTTTTAAACATAAATTACAAATTATATCATCAACATTCGATATTATTTTATATAAATTAATTTAATTTGAAACACAATGAATAGCCTAAGTATTCTTACTTTATCGTTATTTATCGTCAAAAAATTCATTTAAATTATAGTAACATTTATTAATAAGAAATATTTTTAATTGTTTATTAAATTGCACAGGATTTTCCAGGATTTTTTATGGAATTTGGTAAATGGTTATAAATCTTTATTGACATAACGTGAGGGCTGTTTGAAACTAATTTTAATTTGGAGAAGGGTATCTTAAGCTTATATAAATTTCTATTATTTCTTTTAGTCTTTTTAATAGGTGAGTAGAGTTTTGGGTGCTTCCTAACAAATTTACAAGATTCGAGGATGTAGATAGATGTAAGTGTCAAAATCTTATTTTTAATGAAGTGGGGTTTACATGACTCCATTTTGTCCAAATTTATCAATATTCGTAGACACTTCTTTTGTAATATAAATAATTTGTTTATATCACAAGAGTTTCCCCACAAGATGATGCCATAGGAGAGTACGGAGTGAGCATGTGCATAGTAAGCCGCAAGGGCAGTCTTAAAATCTGTCACACGTTTAAGGTGTTGCAGTGCATAAATAAATGAGGATATTTTTTTTGCAACTTTTTGTACGTGCTGTTTCCAACTCAAATGTGTGTCGAGGTCTATTCCTAACAAAGTGCCAGAGTTAACAGTTTCTAGTTTTGTATTTTTATAGTTAAACGATATTTGTAAACCAGTTTTTTGGTAGGGTTTAAATTGAATAATTTTAGTTTTATTAAGGTTAAGTTGTAAATTATGTAATTGTAGCCAGCCAGTAATTTTATCTAATGTATAGTTCAATTTTGTAGTTAAATCTGTGGAATTAGTGCAAGAGATTAATATGGAGATGTCATCTGCAAAGAGCACGTATAGATCGTCCAGTATGTTTGGGAGATCATTTATGTAAATAAGAAACAAAATACAACCCAAAACGCTACCTTGAGGGATAGAGCCAGAAATGAGAGTTGCATCCGATCTGACATGAGTAATTTTGCCTGTCTCGAAGTTGGTATTTTCAATTTCTACATATTGGAAGCGGTTATAAAGATAGGATTTGAACCAATTATGAGCTATTCCCCTAATTCCTGTTTGATACAGTTTTTCCAATAGAGTTCTATAACAGACTCTGTCATAGGCTTTACTCATATCGAGCAAGAGGCCTACTGCGATTTTTTTATCGTCGATTTTGTCTAGGATGCTTTTTACATATTTATAAATTGCTAAGGTAGTGGAGTGGTTTTTCCTAAAGCCATGTTGGTTCACATGCAAAATATTATATTTTTCATAAAATGAACAAAGACGTTTCGCCATAGCCGCTTCAAATATTTTAGCAGACGTAGGTAACAGAGCTATAGGTCGATAATTATTTATGTCAGTAGTTTCGCCCTTTTTATGCAAGGGTTTGATTAGAGATATTTTGAGGGCATCTGGGAAGATACCTTCTGAAAAAGATTGATTTACCAATATTGTATAGGGGATTGTTAACAAATCAGCACAACTTTTAATCAAAATAGGAGTCATTTCATCAATGCCGTAGGATGATTTATTTTTAAGATTTTTTATTATGGTATTCATTTCATGAGTTTCTACTGGGCTTAAGAAGAGAGTGTTTTCGATGGATTTTGTTAAAGTTGTTTTATTTAAATTACAGTTATTTGAGTGTAAATTTCCTATAGATGCATAAAAGGTATTAAATAAGTTCGCTACTATTTTAGGATCACATGATATATGTTTATCTGTTATTTTTAGTTGAACATTTCTATATTTTCGTGAATTTTTGTTAGTCTCGTTATTTATGATTTGCCACATAGTTTTAGTTTTATTTTGAGAATTTTCAAATTTATATTTGTTACATAATTTTTTGGATAAATTGATGGCTTTTTTTTAATATTTTACAATACTGTTTATAATGATATTTAAAATTTTCATTTTTGGTTTTGGAAACCAATAACTTTAAAAATCTTTTATAGCGACACGATGTTTTTAATCCTACTGTTAAATAATTTTTCTTTGGAGAATTTTTTATTTTTATTTGGATTTTTGGTATACATTTATTTAAAGCTCTTTGTAAAATTTCACTAAATATGTCATAATTCTCATTTACATTTTTATTAGGTTTAAGTATGTCATCCCAATTTATATTAGAAATTTCATTTTTGAATTTAGTTATATTTAAGTTATTGTATATTCGTTTATTTAATAAAAATTGCTTTAAGTTTTGTATTGGAGACGGTATAGAAATTAATAAACTACAATGATCTGAAAAACCAAATTCATGAACAGTTATTTTCATATCCTTTAATTTAAAATTAATAAAAAGTAGATCAATGCATGTGGAGCTGTTTGGTGTAATTCTGGTGGGTTGTTTAATCTTTTGGTGGAAGTTATACGATAACATTAAATTAGAGAGCCTATTTTTTTCGCTATTATTTGTTAGGAAGTCTACGTTAAAGTCGCCACCTATGATAATATTCTTAGAATAATCCTTTTTTGAGATGAGACTCAAGAGTTTTTCTAGACGTGAATAGAATACTTCGATTTAATAGACTGTAACGGTATATGTTTATAATTTTGGATTATCTTGTGAGATATTTAAAAACTTACTACTTCCACAGAATGCTAGTGCTGTATCAATTGAACAAAAAGTAGTAAATGTGGACAGTAGTGCCGAAAACAGCCCTGAAGCAGTTACTGAGCCATGCAGAAGTAATGAACCTGAGCAAAATGAAGCTGCCACTGATGCAGTTCCCCAACCAGAGGAAGCAAAAAAAACAAAAGGTTTGATTTATATCACTTTTTTACATTTCAATATTTATTTTAAAACACATAGGCCTGTCATCCAAAAAGGTAGACAGATACTATAGCCTTTCATTCAGTACAATCCTAATACCAAATTATTTGTTGCTACGTTTAAAGACCTCAACAAAAAAAAAACTGCGGCTGCCTACCCGCTTGCCAATCGTAGTAACTATGGCAATATACCTCCCATAATGGTTACAAAGAAACTGTCCCTAGTCCCCAGTGGTTCAGCTATTCCTGGCTACGGTGGCGACCATGGTAACGGCGGGGCAAGGGGTGCTAAGAATCTCCAGTGGAGGTTCGGTTGCCACCTACGATGACTCGACCTGGCAACATATAACGCACGCACCCTGAGGACTGAAGAGAAGATCCTGGAGCTAGAAGAGATAGACAAGTTGCACTGGAATATCATAGGATTATCCGAGATCCGAAGAGAGAGGAGGACACGGTGATTCTCGGATCCGGCAACTTGGTCTATCACCGGGAGGGTGACCACATATCCCAAGGAGGTGTTGGATTTGTCGTCCACAAGTCTCGTTAACAAAGTTGTAAAGATTGGGAGTGTATCGACAAGGGTTGCATACCTTATACTCAGAATCACCAAACGGTATTCGCTGAAGGTCATACAGGCTTACGCACCATCGTCGGAACATCCCGATGAGGAGGTGGAGGAAATGTATGAGGATATTTCTAGAGCCATGCTTTCCTCCAAAACTCACTATACGGTGTTAATGGGAAACTTCAACGTAAAGCTAAGCACAAGAAAGAACGGTGAGCTGAAGGTAGGGAAATTTGGGATAGGGATACGGAACCCAAGGGGCCAGCAGCTGGCCGACTTCATGGAGAAAGAGGGACTCGTTATGATGAACTCTTTCTTCCAGAAGCGGCCCCACAGAAAGTGGACCTGGTCGAGCCCCGACGGTTCGACAAAAAATGAGATTGACTTCATTATGACGACTAGACGGCAACTGTTCAGTGATCGCAAGGGTAAAACTGGCAGCGATCACCGAATGGTTAGAAGGCTGAACCTAAATGTTAAGTTGCAGAGGTCTTATCTAATGAAGTCAACGCTCCGTCCCCCTCATGCTCTAATCCAGAATCCCGAAACCTTTCAGCTCGAGTTACGAAACCGATTTCAGTGCCTAGAAGATTGCAATTCAGTGGACGATATGAATGACTAGCTTGTGGAAACTGTCCATGCGGTTGGAGCTAAGTTCTGCAAGACCCGCCGCAGAAGAACACAAAGACGCTCCGATCACACTCTTAATCTCATGGCTGTTAGACGGGAGTGAGGCTGCAATCGTCAGCAGATTTGACAGCATAGTGGCAACTGAACAGACAGATCTCTAAATGCATGCGGCGAAACTTACGCAACTTTAATACTGCTCGTATTAAAGAAGCGATCGAGCGGAACCAGGGCTCCAAAGTCTTTGCCAGAGATCTATCTGCCAGAAGGAGCCAACTGTCAAAGCTGACCGAAGAAGCTGAGAGAAGACCGAAGAGTACAAACTGCCACTTTGCCTGGCGTATGTGGACTATGAGAACGCCTTTGATTCCATCGAAATTTGGGCCGTGCTACAGTCCCTTCAGCGGTGCCAAGTTGACTGTCGGTATATCGAAGTGCTGAAGTGTTTGTACAGTAGGGCTACGATGGCTATCCGAGTACCCAACTGCAGAGAGGTGTAAGACAGGGTGACATTATATCCCCGAAACTCTTCACCGCTGCATTGGAAGACGTTTTCGAGCTACTGGACCTTCGATATGCCGACGATATAGTCCTTATGGCAGAATCGCTGGAGGACCTAAGCACTATGCTCAATGACCTCAATGGTGTCTCCCAACGGAGAGAATATGAATATGGACAAAATTAAGATTATGTTTAATGTCCATGTCACATCTATGCCGGTAGTTGTTGGGAGCACTATGTTTGAAGTTGTTGTGGAGTACGTTTGACTGGGACAATAGTCCGACTAGGTAAGTCCAACTTCGACCGGGAGGTCAATCGACGGATTCAACTCGGCTGGGCAGCGTTCGGGAAATTACGACACATCTTCCCGTCAGGTATACCTCAAACTCTGAAAACTAGATAATACAACCGTGCGTGTTGCTAGTGATGACCTATGGAACTGAGACGTGGTCCTTCATTGCTGGCTGTATGAGGACGCTCAAGGTCGCTCAGCGAGATATGGAGAGGGCTATGCTCGAGGTTTCTCTCCGTGATAAACTCAGAAACGAGGATATCCGCAGTAAAATCGGAATGACCAACGGATAAGTAAGCTGAAGTGGCAATGGGCTGGCCATATAGCTTGAAGAACCGATAACCGATGGGGAAAAAAGGTTCTCGAGTGGCAGCCTCGTACCGGTAGGCGTAGTGTAGGACGACCCCTCACTAGATGGAGTGATGACCTGGTAAGACATGCAAGAAGTCGATGGATGCAGTTGGCTCAGGACCGTGCTTTGTGGCATTACTTGGGGGAGGCCTATGTTCAGCAGTGGACTTGTGGAGGGCTGTAATGATGATGATGATGATGAAATTTAAAGATTAAAAATAATTATCTCATTTTAATTTAAGAATATCCACACACAATGGGTCTTCATTCCTTCATCTTTATTCATTCTCCTGTTGCTTCAAGAGATGCGCACTTTAGATCGTACAATACCTACATTACGTCCGCTCCAAAAGAGCACTAATTAGATCAGAATTACTGCCCTATGAAAACTTTTTTTTAAACTATTTTTTCGTTTTAGAAACAAAACCAAAGACAAAGATATGCTCTTTTATTTTAAACCATAACCTGGCAATGTTTCTTAGAAAAAAAAAAATCACTCTGAACTTTCGGCGTTCCACGTGTCGCTTTGATGAAGGTGCTCCGTCTTTTTTATAGAATTTTATATTTGTGTCTGGACTAAAAATGAAAGTATTATACTTTTATAAGTTCCTTGTAATATAGTAAACACGTAGATATATAGTTTGTGGTATAAAAAGTGAAAAGTGAATTGCTAAAAGTACTTCAAAATCCGGAAGGCCCATTTTGGCGGTTGGGTCATAAATGTGTTATTTTTCCAATTCTGATTTATTTTTAGTGTAAAATGTAAGTAAAAAATAGTTTTCTTACATATTTCAAATAACTTGACGTTGTATTTATTTCAAATTCACACAAAAATATGTTTGAAATATTGTTCGAAATGTCATACAGATAAATATTATTATTTTTTTTTTATATTTTGGTATGAGTAACGAATAGAAACACATAAAACATAAAAATATATATATTTCCAAACATTTTCATATAAATTTCTCCAAAAACAAAAGTGTAGAATTCAAATTAGTAGTAATTTTGTCACTAAAATTGAAGTATATACTACTACTATGCTATACAGGGTAATTTATGTATTTTATTACAATTTCTGGCAACCAAAAATAATTTATTCGATAGTTTATACATTCAACAAGAAATCCTGTAAGTTTTATCCATAAATATTGTCTCAAAGTGAAAATATAGCAAAATTTGCAGTATAGCAAAAAATTTTCTAACTTACAAATTTTCCCGCCATTAATTCCTTGTGTAAAAATCTAATGCAATATAATATGTTTAAAAGTTTAGTAGGGTGTTAATTTATTAGTAAAATTGGGTTGAGGAAAATGTCAGAGAAATCTAACCTATGCTGTGAAAAAACTACAGGACTACTTCTGAAATCAAACCATAAAGTTTCTGCTCACAGATAACATGATGTTATCCTACCATAAAATGACATCATTATCATCATCATAATCATCATTACAGCCGTTGACAAGTCCACTGCTGAACATAGACCTCCCCCAAAGAATGCCACAAAGCACGGTTCTGAACCACCTGCGTCCATCGACTTCCTGCATGTCTTACCAGGTCGTCACTCTATCTAGTGGGGGGTCGCCCTACACTACGCCTACCGGTACGAGGCTGCCACTCTAGGACATTTTTACCCCATCGGTTGTTGGTTCTTCTAGCCATATGGCTGGCCCATTGCCACTTCAGCTTACTAATCCGTTAGGCTATGTCGGTCACTCTGGTTCTACTGCGGATATACTCATTTCTAAGTTTATCATGCAGAGAAACCCCGAGCATAGCCCTCTCCATAGCTTGCTGAGCTACCTTAAGCGTCCTCATACGGTCATCAGTGAAGGAACACGTCTTAGATCCATAAGTCATTACTGGCAACACGCACTGGTTGTACAATCTGGTTTTCAGGTTTTGACATATGACGAGAAGATGTGTCGTAATTTCTCGAACGCTGCCCAGTTGATATTAGGGACAGTACAATAATATTTCTTCAGTGGCATGCAAATGTATACGTTTATAAATGTAGGTCTAGTGCTATATAAATTTTCTATGAATATGTATGGTTAATTACAATTTCTCGATAAATTTAAGAATAAAAAATCACAAGATAAATATATGTACGTAGATGTTAATAATAAAGAAATGAAATAAAAGCGGTCTAGGTGCGATCCGAAAGGTCCACACGACTAACTTGCCAGTGGAAATAATAAAAAATATCATATGTTTTAATATTTTATACAATTCGGTACAAAAAAACGACTTGACCTATTTAGCTCAAAAGTTAGTGAGGTCTAAGTTACATAATTATGCGTTAAATGAAACTGGTCCCATGTCAATATCACTCTTTGTTCTCGAGATACACGAGGCGAAAATTGAATCCGAACATACATACATACATACGACATCCTCTTAAAAACCATACTATTCGACTCTACAGCTCTTGAAACGTGGAGATATGTTAAAATTTCCAATTTGTAAAATCGGACCCATTACAATAACTTCCCACTGGGAAGATAAAATTAATACAAAATTTGATCCATTTTAAATTGAAAAATTTGTCACATTAAGTGTACATGACAACAGTTATTATTATTTTTATTAACGATCCGCTCGGCTTCGGCGGTTGATTTCTGGAGTGATTTCTCTCGACAACAACGCCACCTAACGTGTCCAAATGAGCTTTTAAACCATCCAGGGACCCACTCAATAAAAATACACACAAAAAAATTCATCAAAATCTTTCGAGTTTTAGCGAGACTAATGGACAGCGATTCATTTTTATATATATGTAAGATTAATTTACTAAGTCAATATTATCAAGTCAAGATTGTATGAAATATCACTTTGGTTTATAACAATAAAAATCATCTAGGGAATAAAACATTTTGGATAAGCCATTGCTTTAATTTTTACTGGAAATATTTAAATGGAAGTTTTCGAATATCACTTGGAATTTTATTATATACGTTTATACGCATATTGGGACAATCCTTCTGAAAAAGACAGTTTTACATTTTCTAAAATTTAGTCTTGTTACATCTCTCTCTATGCGGAAGTATTTTATCTGTATAATTATCAACACATCTCTGAAATAAATGTGGATATTTCTTTTTAATTTTTCCAATTATATACACGTGTTTGAAGAGTGGTTTAAACCTATGTGGAAATTATTTTGTTGGCCATAATTATTTAGCCAAAAACCGTTTTAGCTTTTTTAGGACATGACTTGAATGGGTCTTCAATGAGTTTGATTAATGTTTTGAAATTGATGTAAACAAAAACTTACAGATGACAAAGGAAAACCAACAGTACGCAGTGCAATAGAGAAGATTCGTTTTCTCACATTAACCCCACAGCAATTTGCTGAAGGGCCGGCCCGTTCGTCACTGCTGACAGAGTCTGAAGCCTTTGCAGTACTTATGAATATCCTTTCAAGCAATTCCGATGTGCCTATGCCCAGAGGATTTTCTACTTGTAGAGTACCAAGGAAACAGCTGATTGGTGGTGGACCTTCTTGTAATGTATGTAAAGTTTGCATTTTTATTGACATTCTTTCGAGTTCTTTTTTAGTATTGTAGTTTATGTACCAAGTTTACTTGTTGTTTTGTACATATAGGCTGTGTGCCGAAATAGAACCCAGTATACTGGCCAATACAAACGACGTCATGAATCGACGCCATACTGGTGATTCGTTTCAAAACATTGGTCAGTATAAGACATCATATATTTGCGTCATATTAGAAAAATGTTGGCCAATATTTTATGTCATTTGTGCTCCAAAAGTTATTACATCCTGTTTCAAATAATTTGTGCAGAATGGAGATACCAGCAATTATGTTAGTAAGCCATGTTGCTATTGGTATTCATTCTGATTCATCTGATGGTGATACTGATGACGATGATTTAGTGCTTGGCTGTTTAAAAATAGTTTTAATATGGCGGGATATCTGATACAATATGGTGGCGGCACGCCAGTACAATATGGCGTCAATTAATGACGTCATTTGCCTTAACAGCCTGTATATTTATAATCCCATGCTTGGCACAGGCTTTTATAAGGGGTAGAGCTATGCTGCAGTATGCTACAGCTGCAGCAATAATGTGTCGGATGGACTGGGGAAAGACTACGCTAGCACAGTAATAACATCCTCCGGACCGAATTTCGTTCACGGTAGCCTGCCTCAACGGAGGCTAGCCATTGGAGCAGGACAGAATTATAGTGCCCAAGTGTATGCGCAAGCACAATTGCACTCTCTATTTCCTCACTCTCGTAATCCAATGGTACGGTGAACCGACACAACCTGAGAGAAATCAGGCACAGGACTAACGGATTTACGTGCTTTCCGAGTCACGGGGGTAGAACACCGCCAACTTCGTGACTCCGGGAAACTCCTGAGAATATCTTGACGGAAAAACTCAATAAATGATTTTTTTGACCCGACCCGTGATTCGAACCCAGGACCTCATGATCAGCAGTCGCGTTTAAAACCACTAGACTAATGAGGCAATCACTCTTATTCATAGTATTCTCACGCAGTATACCAGTGTGAAATAGCGAAGCATTTTATCTTGGTCCTGTGGAGTCACAACGCATCTGCATTTTAATTATGGATGTATGTAGGTATGTATTTATATTTTTACGTGATAAAGCCACGCTACAACTATATTCTGGTTGTAGCATGAATGGGTCGACTCGACTCGAGGACAACGCTCTCATAGAAAACCAACGTAAAATAGCAGCATAATGCTGCTGTGTTTCGTATGGTGAGTGTAGAGAGTCGGAGACCCTTTTTACTGAAAACGGGGCAGTCCATTTTAGCACTCAGGGTTGACAACACACCTTGATTTTGATTCTCAATTGAGGATCTCAACGTAGATGTCTATGGGTCCCAGTATCCACTTACCATCAGGTGGACTGTGTGTTCGTTTGTCATCCTAATCATATAAAAAAAACTTTAACGTACTCAAAAAAATAACACGAGAAAACCAATTACAGGAAGAAATACGTAGGTGGTCGTTAGATTAAAGCAGTCTTATTGCTAAAATTTGTACTTAGGTCACATAAAAATTAGTTACTTGACTGGAAATCATTAAATAAATACTAACTTTGGGGCTAACTGGCACAAATATTTTTAATATTTAATCCCAATCAAAATCAAATATTTAAGTGTGTTTACTACTGTAAATAGATGTAAACGGTCCCAACCGCCGTTTACAATAAAAAAACCCCATAGTTATGTATTAAACATGTACACTCACCGGCACGGAAACTTGGCCAAGCGGTTATCTCGCGATAGCAAAAGCTTTAAGTGTTTCTGATGAAGGTTTGTTATGCAAGTATGTCAAAAAATGTTTACCCTCAAGTTCAAGAGGGTAATTCATTATGTTTAAGTGCACCATGACGAATTCTTTAATTTTTAGTTGAATCGGGTCATTTGAGCGACTAAGTTCACATTTTAAATTTGTGTGTTGTGAAAAGTTTACTGTAAGGTTATTCAATTATTGTGATCTTGTGTCTTAATTAAATAACTAAAGGTGCTTTAAAGCCAATAAAAATGCCATTAACACCAGCACAAGTTGCACAAGCAGTAGCATTAATTGACCAAGGGCTGGCACAGCGTGAAGTTGCTATTGTGTTTAACGTACCACGGTCCTCAATGCAGTATTCACTGAAACGATACCAGGAGACAGGCAGCTACACCCGCAGGCCAGGCAGTGGGAGCGTAAGGTGCACATCGGCCCGGGACGATCGTTTTATTGTTATAGCTATGGAGAGGGCTATGCTCGGAGTTTCTCTGCGTGATAGACTCAGAAATGAGGATATCCTCAGTAAAACCAGAGTGACCGACATAACCCAACGGATTAGTAAACTGAAGTGGCAATGGGCCGGCCATATAGCTCGAAGAACCGATAACCGATGGAGAAGAAAGGTTTTCGAGTGGCAGCCTCGTACCGGTTGGCGTAGTGTAGGGCGACCCCTCACTAGATGGAGTGACGACCTGGTAAAACATGCAGGAAGTCGATGGATGCAGATGGCTCAGGACCGTGCTTTGTGGCGTTACTTGGGGGAGGCCTATGTTCAGCACTGGACTTGTGAAGGGCTGTAATGATGATAGATATATATATATATATATATATATATATATATATATATATATATATATATATATATATATATATATACTGTTAAATATTTTTTTCATCTTTCCAAGCAAAACAACTCACTTCTAGGAAAGTGCATGTCATCTATGGACTTGAAAAAGGTGACAACAATTGTGGTTTAAGATATTTATTTCTCAAAAGAGCTAAAATTCTTCTATTCACTAACATAATTTTATATTAAACGGCACGACACACAAAAATAAAAATACACATTTAACAAGATAAAAATACACCATTTTTTTATAGTCTAAACAAATAATGTTAAAGTTATGAGTACATAATAAAATAATAAAAGAAGACTACAAAGATTAAAATAAACATTCATGACGGTTACTTTATTTGGTTCGATCGCCGAGTGCAAAATTATTCATATACCGATTTCAAGCTTCACTTAATGAATTGACGTTGAACAATGGAGACTGGAAGTGATATTATGCATTCTTGATTGAACACAATTACTACTTGGTCAATGGCTTAATGATAATTAATAAATGACCTAATGAAATTTAATAACTATATCTGTATTAATGATTTCTTATATTTACGCGAACACTACACATTGAAATAATACTAGTTTTTACGGAATTTATCGCGTATATTTAACTTTTTAAATTTTTAAGTTTATTGTCGTAATCTATGGTAACCGCGGTTAACTATGACATATCGACGTTGAACATCTCAGTCCCGCCCGTGACCATGAGTGCTGTAAAGCGTTCGAAACATCGGGTATTTAAAAAGTTAAATATACGCGATAAATTCCGTAAAAACTAGTATTATTTCAATATATCTGTATTTATATGTATTCTTGTTAAAAAGCCCTTTTTTTTAATGTTTTGTTTCAATTATTGAGAAAACAGTATTGCTAGTTGCAAAAACTTTTCATGAACCTCTGCAACTATCGGTACTGGCAACAGTTACTCTTGCAGCCTGTTAAAAGTCATTCCTGAACTTAGCCTTCACCATAGATTGCATCATTTACGTGGTAGAGCCACGCTGCAGGTGTATTATGGTTGTAGCACGAATGCGTCAGCTCGACCGGGGCAGGACCACGCACTCACAGAAAGCCAGCGTAAAATAGCAGCTTAATACTGCTGTGTTCCGTATGGTGGGTTTAGAGAACCGGAGACCCTTTTTACTGACAACGAGGCATTCCATTGTAATCCTTAGGAGTGATAACGCATCTACATTTTGTAAATGTAGATGTTTATGGGCGAAAGCATCCACTTACCAACAGATGGATTGTGTGTTATTTTCTCACCCCTACTCTATAATAAAAAATAGAGGATATTTGGCATAGTGCCGTGCTTGGCACGTGGCTTAGCAATTATAGTTTATTTCTTTTTTTTATTGTAATCAGAAAGACCGTGCTGCCCATCTTCTGGTTTATTTTGTACTGACAACACATTATTTTACAGATGCCAACATTTACAGTGGACACCCCCAGCCCTGTGTCAGTGGAGCAAGTATGGCAAATCAACCCCAATCCAGTGTCGCACCCTTGCAATATATATCAACGACCGCCGCGTCACGACGGTATCCTATTTGTCTCAATCAATCAAACATAGGCTTCTATCATAGATTATTTCTAATTGTAAGGAGAAAATTTGCCACAGTTACCACGCGTGGCGGGAGGGTTGGCAACCGTAGTTTTTAATTTTCTAGTTGTTATTAAGAGGATGGTGCCGCCAATGTCCTGGTTTGTTTCCCTCTGTCGCCTTTTACGACACCCACGGTACGATATGGGGTACTGGATATTCTTACACTGTTACTATACAGAGGGCTTATTTGTATATTTACATTGATTCAACTATTTATGTGTTTTAAAGATGGGGGGTTAAAGAAAATCAATAAAGTAACCCCCTCAGAAAGGATGTCGTTATACGGGAAGATCTTATGTGATGTTAACAGACAAAAGTGGCGACGTTTGGTATTATAATATAATATCCGATCCAACCTTCCATTTAGTTGTGTTAATTTTTTTTAATAATTGTAAATCAGTACTTGACTACTATTCCACAACTGACAACTGACTGCCTCGTTGATCTAGTGGTTGTAGTGGCGCGACTACTGATCATGAGGTCCTGGTTTCGAATCCGGGATTTGAGTCGGGCAAAAAAATCAATTATTGAGTTTTTCCGTCAAGAAACTCTCAATAGCTGCCCGGAATCAGGAAGTTGGCGGTGTATCACCCCCGTGCTTCAGAAGGCACGTAAAGCCGTTGGTCCCGCGCCTGATCTCTCTCCGGTTGTGTCGGTTTACCGTCCCGTCGGATTATGAGAGTGATGGAATAGAGAGTGCACCTGTGCTTGCGCATACACTTGGGCACTATAATCCTGTTATGCTCCAATGGCTAATCGTTGAGGCAGGCCACCGTGACCGAAATTCGGTCTGGAGGACATTATTATTACTATTATTCCATAAGATGGTAAGTGGTGAAGCAGCGGAGATGGTTAAGAGCACTGAATTACCTTAACAAAAGCTTATACACTATTGTCTTAAAGACGTCCACTTTGTATTCGAATAGAAAAACAGATGCTGGCAAATGATTCCACACCTTTGCTGAATGCATGACGAACGGCGAAGAAAACTTTACGTGGTCGAGCTACGCTGCAACTATGTTATGGTTGTAGCACAAATGGATCAGCTCAACCGGGGAAGAACCACACTCTCACAGAATATCGGCTTAAAACAGCAGCTTAATGCTGCTGTGTTTCGTATAGTGAGTGTGGAAAACCGGAGACCCTTTTTACTGGAAACAAAGCATTGGAATGCTTTGTGCATTTGTGCATGTGCAATGCATCTTTGCATTTTGATTCTTAATTGAGGATAAAAATGTAGATGTCTACGGGCCACAGCATCCATTTACAGGTGGACTGTGTGCTCGTTTGCATCCATATTCTATAAAAAAAGAAAAACTGTATGGTTATGTAATGCGTGGTAAGTCAACAACGAAGGGCTGGAGACTAGCCGAGCGTCTGGTTGTCCGTTAGTGGAAGGGAGAATGGGAAACAAAATAAGATATTGAATGGTGTATCTTTCAAACAATTGTAGCCTTTAAACAACTATTAAATAGTTTTAATTTGATACTTCTAACAATGGAGAGATATGTGATCTAATAAATATATTCTTGTTACAACAGGTGTCCGTCTATCGTCAATGGTACACAACCAGTCACACTCCGGTTTGGGTATGGTCGAGCAGATGGAGAGGCACAACTCGGACCTCAACAAGATATACTGCCAGCGCCCTATTATCCATCATACTGACTGTATGAACACAAGTGTTCTAGATTGTTCTGTTACATTTATGGTTGACAAGAATATTTGCCTCTGGGGAGTACAGGTATGTATGGAATTATATTACCACCTACATAGTTTAATAATACTACTAATTTAATTTAATAATACTGGTTATTCCTTTGTGTATATTACCGCTATGTTATATGGAGGAAAAATCTTATTTCGTATTGAGTCTGTTGTATAGCAAAGTTTAAAGAGAGTTAGGGTTTTGGCGGGAACTTGACCGACGACAGATAGTTGCTCCTGTTTTATCGTTTAAATAATGGTTTGAAGTTAATTTTGATACGTAAAAGTAATGCGATTTTATGTATTAAGTGCAGACACACATATGAACTATTAGAGAAAACGACGAAATAAGTGATTCGATGTTGATATAAACATCAAGTTATTTGATAGATTAGGCGCCTTATGAACTTGGGTGACAGTCGTCATCGACTGTCCGCTGCGTTGAGCTGTCGCCAAAATCTCCCAACAACTTCGCAGTCTGACGCATCAGCATATTGTGAAGAAAAAATCTATAAAGACGAATATTCCGAGTGAAATGAAGACATGGCTTAAAAAACAAGTATCCAAGCCAAAAGATCTTAATAAATAAATAACAATAAAGAAAGTTATCTTGTGGTTTCCGTTAGATGGCGCTATAACTATAAACAGTTTGATTATACAAAAACAGTGCGTGTATCCGACGCGGTTGAAGTAAAACTTTACAATAAAATATAATTTATTACATTATAAATACATTACATATACAATACAAAATTAAAAATATCGATTGAGTAGTGACAGAAATTAACCTCACAAATTATAAAAGCGAAATACTGAAATACTTATTTGAATAATTATTCATTATTCCTCACTAGCATTTTTTATCAATGATTTGCACTTTTTTCAGACAGAAACATTTATTAATATAATGTACACGATTGTGTGTGTATAATGTACACGATAATGTATATGATTTAGTTTTATATAACAACACACTACTACCAAAGAATATATACACTACGCGAAAACAAACGACACTTAAGCATGTGTGCACGTAAAATCGCTTGCGGCTATGTGTGGGTGTCTGGATGTGTGCGGGGGCCTTGAGAGGCGCGCGGGGCGTGGAACGGGCAGTCGCCGATTGCCCTGGCCGAGGGCTGTAGTAATACCGATATTTGTCAGTATTAGTTAATATGAATATATTCGTCAAGTGATATTATAATATTTCAATTAATATTTGAATATTACTGATATCTTAATGTACATATTACTATTCTATTCATGTAGGTATTAAGTTTATGTTACCAAGTAACGTTATTAGTTTTTATAGCCGGTTTATATGCTTTGATAAATATTAATGTTGTTATTAAATAAATAATATTATAGTATATGTATAAGTATAACTGAAAGTGATTTTAAGTGATAAAAATTAAAATAAATTCCACTGCACAAAACAAGGGCCCTTGTTTTGTTAGTTTAATTTTTAATAATGTTTTATGATACCTAAAAATATGTGAACTCATTTTAATGAAAGTCGATATGATCTTAACGAGAATTATAAGGAAATACCATGAGAATAAAACTAATATATCGCCAATAATTTTATTATATAACATTAACTGAAATATACCCTATTAAAAATACCACTAGAGAGTCAAGAAATTTTAGATATCCATAAAGAGTTTTTGTATTTCTTCATTGTTGTATTTATGGATTATTTCATTAGAAATAAAAATGACTTATCTCCTCAACACATAGGGAACAATTTGTTGGCCGCCATGTCCCAGGAAACCTGCATACCTTTGGAGTTTTAAAAAAAAATATACAAGCTACGAATTTTTGCAATTGTTAGAAATAATAATGAAAATTAAAAAAATAATCGAAAAATTCAAAAATATATAAGAGTAAATTATTTTTTAAAGAATAGTAGGTAATACTGATTATTGCGTACTGAAATAAGTGTTGGTTAATTATTTAAGATTACCATTAACTGTCGTGCATATTTGGTTTTGTCGGAAGTTTTAATATTCCTCATTTAATAAAAGTTGATTTCAAATTGAACGTATCTTTCACTACCTAAATACATAAGTTTGCATAATATATAACATATACCATCTATGTATCTTCTTTGGTATAAGTCTATAATATTCCATTTCGGCTCGATATCAACCCTAGCATTACACGCTTCGACTCAAGGTCACCGGCGCTTAAGCTCTCACGTACAGGGAGTGTCACCGCTGTGCTACTACCGCGCGCTTATTGGTCAAATCAAATAGCGCGCTCTTCCCCAGATTTCCTGTTACACACTTCCGTCCTTTTTCACGAAATCACTTCTACAGATTGCGAGAAAGCGAAAAGAAAGACACATCAAAATATGCAGTAGTTAATCCGCCTCCCAAGCATGATAACTATGGCAAATATATGGAGGTGGCCTATGTTTAGATGTAGACTTTTGATAGGCTGTAATCAAAGATGAATTAATGAATTTATTTATTATTTATAATATTTGCCTATGAAATTACCGTTCTGCAGTACTGGCCATTTCAAATCAAAATAATTTTGTTTGGCTAAGAATTCTAAATTTAATTTTATTTTAAAAACATGGAATTCTTTTTTTTTTTTCAAATTTAGTCATTTGTTTATTGAATAGGGTTATGTTTTTATCGCATTTGAATCTTTTTCGTCAAAAAAAAATAATCTTTTTTCGCATTGTTACCTGTGAAGAAAAATGGATTCTGTTTTGACAATCGCAAGCAATCAGCAAGTTGGTTGAATTCAGCACCTAAACAATGCCCTAAACGAAAACTTACCCCTAGAAAAGTGATGGTCACTGTCAACAAGGTCTAGCGCTGGTGTGATTCATCACAGCTTCTTACCAAACAGAATAAGCATTACTGCAGATGTGTACTGTGAAGAGTTGTGAAGAACACAACGATGGAGAAGCTCGCACGCCACCAACCTGCTTTGGTCAAGCATCTATGAACTGACACTGCGTTGGAAAAGATGCATCGATTGTATGGGTGATGATTACTTTAATATAAATAAAAATACAGAAAAAATTGTGTTAATGTATTTCTTAAAAAACGGTAATTTCATATGTAAAGACCCAATAATGTAATATATTTGACCTGTAAATTTTTTTTACTTATTAATAAAGTATTTAAGTATCAATAACATAATAAATATATTATTACATAATAAAGTAATGCTTAAACTAAGATTTTTTTCTTAAGTTTCTGACATTGATTTTGCATGAAATTATATGAAAATATGACAGCACTCTTGGTGGACCCAAACGAAACTATGTTTTGTCATACAAAGTCATTAGATATCTAAACGAATTCAACACTTTAGAGAAAACTCATGTTTAGGGGTCTATATAATAATCGTATTATGATATCCATCCATACATCCATTACAGTTTATAGTTCACTGCTTAACACATGCACACTTCGCGATTATGCATGGTGAGCACGCTTAAAAAGCCACGCCCAACATACTTTCGCGGCTAGTACAGCCTCATTACCGACGATCTCGGATGATGATCTCAACAAAATCCCACAAAATATACAAAATTTGTTATACGAATAAAATTTTTATTAAACTAAGTTTGTATAAAAAGGGTTATTATAATATTAAGGAATTTATGGATGATAATAACCCCTGGGAAGGGTGATCGCTACCAAGCTATTTTTAATTTGTCTTGTGTTGTTAATTGTAAACATAATTGTAAGCTATTATTTGAAGAAAAAAAGTCCCGCTGGGTTTCTTGCTGGTACTTCCCAGGACAGAGGTTTTTTTGCGAACCAGTGGTAAATGAAGAAATTGACTTTCAATAAGTATTGTTTATAACCTACATTGAATAAAAAAGTTTCTGTTTCTGTTTCTGATGCATTCTATGGGACGTCATGGTAGTGCGGACTTTTCTATCCAGGGCGCAAGTTCAGTCCGAGTCCATCCGAGTATGCCAAAGGTATACATCACCCAACTGTTATGCGTTACAGATTGCTTCATAGGGGTGATTTTGCCATAGTTGCCACTCTTAGAGTGGGTTGGCAACCGCAGTGTTTTTATTATTTTGAGTTATTATCAGGAAGATGCTGCTGCCCATCTCCTGCTTCAGTTTGCCTCTGTCTCTTGCGATACCCACGGGACGGTATGGGGTAGCGGATATTCTCACAGCGCCACTACGCGGTTAGCAATCGTGTTTGTTTGTTTGCTTTTTGTTTGTGGTTCTGTTTTACTATACTTCCGAAACGTTCGACTTATAAACCAGGTGCCCACACAAGCGCCTAGTGAGGAAGCGGGGGGAAGTTCAGCGGGGACGTTGGTGGGGGCAGCGGGTAACACCAGCGGCTACTGCGAGCTACTGTACGCGCACCTGCTGGATGCTGACGGTGCCCGCCTCACCTACACGCACTACCCCAGCAGAGTGCCCTACCGGCATCTGCTCGACATCATGTTCAACCGCCCTGTCTATATACAGAGAAATAAGGTTTTTATTACTTTAATAATAGTGTCTGTAACAGAATAAATAAACGATATAGAAAACACGAATCTAAGGTGGCCCCCCACTAGATGGAGTGACCTAGTAAGGTATGCAGGAAGACGATGGATGCAGGTGGCTCAGGACCGGGCTTTGTGCCGTTCCTTGGGGAAGCCCTTGAACAGTGGACTTGTGAAGGGCTGGTTGATGATGATGATAGAAAAGGCGACAGGTAAAGATAAACTACAATAACATAACCCGCTCCTTCAAATTACTGTTCCAATGTGCATTGGTCGTACCCTTACGAACGTTTTTGCATGTAATTGTAAGTATTCCCCTTTCAGAAATAATATCTCTTATATGTATAATCAGATTTGTTGATCAACTAGTCATAATTTGCTGATCGTACAACAGGGTGCACGTGTCACTTTCATAGAAGATACTAATGCAGCGTCATACTAAACTAAATGAGCTTATCAGTGACACAAAGTAGTCGAGTATAAATCTGTTCAATCGTTTGTTTAATTAACATTCAATTCACACGCTTCGTGTGGCTTGTTGGTACTTTCACAAATATATTTAACCGCTTAGTAATTTGAAATGGCGGGCCATGTTATTGTAGTTTATCTATACCGGATGTAGGGTCAGCAAAAAGGTAGCAACTATTAATATTTTAAAAGGTAGCATCTAAAAATACTGTCGTATACTGATTTTAACTTAAGAAATTATTTTTATCCACCAAATTTTTATTAACCAACTGAAACAAAATAATTACTAAAACCGAGTCGGCAAAAAGGTATTTGAAAATTCGAAGCGTATCACAGTAGTCTATAAGTGGTTGACTAGTCGCGCCATCTTTCTCGTAGTTATCCAAAAGCGGACGAACTCAAAATTAATATCAGTGTGAGCGTGGCCTCGCGAGTGCGATGAATGATGGAAAGATTCCACTCGCGCTCGTAGGTCATATAATTTTGAGACAATCCGTTTTACAGTGTAGTGTACTATATCAGTGTACGGACATAGTCACAGAGAAATAGGGGACTAGAGCAATTTCGAACAAAAGTTAAAGTCACAGCCTATATACGTCCCACTGCTGGACACAGAACTCCTCTCATTCTGAGAGGGTTTCAGGACAAGGAAATCTCCGCCATGCTGCCCCAATGCGTGTTTGCGAACTTCACATCATATCTTCGAATTTTTTTTCTTGTTTCTCAGATATACAGGTTCCCTCACGATGTTTTCGTTCACCGCCGAACACGTGGTAAATCAACACTTTAAATTGCAATTAACAATTTCATTGGTGCCGGCGAGGATCGAACCTGGGTTGCTCACGTAGTGTGAAATACAGCGAGTGCTAACCATCTGAGCTACCACGGACGAATTTCGAACAAGTTTGATGAATTTAGAATTTAAAGTCGAATATAATTTATTAAAATTTAATTAAGTAGATACTAAGTAGTAGTAGTTTCAATATATTAATAATTAAAATTTTAAGAAGTAATTGATATTTTATACTTGAGGGTCGGCTCAACCGGGGAAGGACCACGCTCTCACAGAATACCAGCGTAAAATAGTAGCTTAATGCTGCTGTGTTTCGGATGGTGAGAGTAACGAACCGCAGACCCTTTTTACTGGAAACGAGGCGTTCCATCTTAGTCCTCATGGGTGACAACGCATCTGCATTTTGATTCATAATCGAGGATAGATGTAGATGTCTATGGGCCACAGCAACTACTTACCATCAGGTAGACTGTGTGCTCGTTTGTCACCCTTTCCTATAAAAAAATCTAACGCTACGTACCAAGAACCTAAAGAGGCAATAGGTACTCGTGTGAGAGTCTCGTGGTCCTTCACTGCTGGCCATATGAGGACGCTCAAAGTCGCTCAACGGGCTATGGAGAGGGCTATGCTCGGGGTTTCTCTGCGTGATAAACTTAGAAATGAGTATATCCGCAGTAGAACCAGAGTGACCGACATAGCCCAACGGATTAGTAAGCTGAAGTAGCAATGGACCGGCCATATAGCTCGAAGAACCGATAACCGATGGGGAAAAAAGGTTCTCGAGTGGCAGCCTCGTAACGGTAAGCGAAATGTATAGGGCGGTCCCCCACTAGATAGTGACGACCTGGTAAGATATGGAGGATGTCGGTGGATGCACGTGGCTTACCGTGCTTTGTGGCATTCTTTGGGGGGGGGGGGGGCTATATTCAGTAGTGGACCGGTGGAACAGTGGCTGTAACGATGAAGATGATATTAAAAAGGACCTTGTATCATATTGGGTTTATTGTACTGACTTTTGGAGTTAATAGAATGACCTCAGATTTTTAAATGAAGTTGAACTAAGCAACATTTCATTGACAGGTGTACAAAGTGGGCATCGTGTTTAACAAAGTGGGATGGTACCCAATGGGCCGTTGTGCCCAGCAAGTGGCCGCTGAGTCGGTCTTCTTCAACTTCGGTATCGGTCAGAGCAGTGATTCGGTGCGCGACGGACTCATACGATCAATTATATTCACATACTAACGCAAAAGTTCTGTTTGTTTAGAAATTTTTTAAACGCCACCGTGAAGTTACATACAACTTGTTGTGATGTTCCAGTACTGGCCTCATAATACTGACTGTCATTTTAAAGAAAGTTTTGGAGGGATCTATCTTCCGTCTCTGATGCAGTTAGAGAAGCTATCATTTTTAGCAAACTTATTCGATTTGTTTTTTATTTCTCAAAATTTCTCACGACTTCATTTCGCCGAGTACTGCAATTAATGAACTCAATGTCGCATTATCGCATTGGCTATTTTAGCGTATTTATTATTGACGACTGTAAAAAGCCATAGAATTTATTAATCTTTTTCTTAGCATAGACAAAATGTATTGTTATTTTTGAACTTCCGGAATATAAATCACATTTATGTGTTGATTTTTACTAGAAAATTTTATCACTTATGCAGTAATAAAATTTACTTTAAATAATTTGCCAATTGCTATGTAGCAGATCAAAATTTTATTTCTCCAATTCCAATCCCATAGCCTTTTATCCATCCATCAAATACTATTTCACCATACATAACATAAAAGAAAGAATCAAAAATTCTGCCTATTATAAATATTATATTAGATATTTAGGTTAAATAAGTTGACATATTTATTTTAGTTTAAGAACTATTATGTGACCATGCTTTTTGTGTATTCAAATAAATTGTTGTGAAACGAAAAGTACTTCTTTTATTTTTAACCGACTTCAATAAAAGGAGAAGATTCTCAATTAGACTATATTTTCTTACGTGCGTTGTTACTTCGCAACTTTTTCCTATGTGAACTGATTTATTCTTTTTTTGATCTCACCAGTAGTTTTTGAGTTATCCTTAATAATGCGTATTTAATTGACTCCAAATACATTGATGATGTTCTCATTTTAGTTATATTGAAGTCTGTTGTACAATTTTTTTTTAATTTTACCACTAGTTAGCTTAGTTATTTTATTAAAAAAGTATCCTCGAATATATACTGTTGATTTAAAAATATGAAAGACATAATTTTGGCACAATTGTAAATGTTTTCTCATCTAATTTGTTAATGTGATGGGAAACATATTTTACAAAACTAGCATTTCGCACGGGTGATATTTAGATCTCGACAACAGCGCCACCTACTGGATCCAATTGTGAATCTAAACCATTCTCGAATCAACTTAATCACACACACACAAAATTTCATCAAAATTAGCCCAGCCGTTTAGGAGTTCAGTCACAGTCACACGGACGGAAGAATTTTATATATAAAAGATCAAATTTATATACAAAGATAGGAAAACTGGATGGGACATGAAAGATCACGATCAAGATGTAGAAAACATGTTAACTGGTTTATGGTAAACACACACACACACAAAAACGCAAGCGCGCGCGCAAGCATGCACACATGCGCACACGCACAAACGCATACACACACTCACGCACGCACACTGCCGCAAACGCACGCACACCCATTAACACACACACACACAAACACACACAGACACACACGCATTCAGACGAATACCTTATGTCGCTAATGCCACCACTTCCGCTACAAGAAGGGGCGTTGTCGAGTAATTCGTTAAAAAAAGTCGTTTATTTCGACCACAAGGATGTTAGTAATAATACAAATCTTAAAACTAATTTTCGTAATACTTAAAACTATTTACCTAATTTTAAAACTATATATAAGACAGGCCCGATTAGTCAGCACGTGCACCATATGACAATGGTTCAGGTACTGACCGTAGCCTGCCGACCGAAATTAATCCTGTAGTCCATCTGATAGTCTAAAATTTTAATGGATTATCTGAACTCCGGATATGTTTTTGATACTTGATATTTTATATTGATGTATCGAGTAGGGATGTCGATAATAAAAATAAATATATAAAATAATCAGATTTTGAAATCGATTCAAATCGAAATCGGATGAATCGATTCACAAAAAATCGAGGTCTGTAAGATCGATTTCCCAAAAATTGATTTTTTTTCGATTTGCTTTCAGATTCATACAAAGTACAGATTACACACGTAACTTATTTTAGATAAGAAGGAGTGAAAAAAATTGAACACACAGCAGTTTTGCTAGTTTTTGAATAGAAAAACTGTCGATCTTTACGCGTTTGTGTACATTATAATTAAAAATAAAAATAATTTTATAGTTGTTATGAAAACTGAAAAGGATTCGATCTCGATTTTCTAGGGTAAAATATCGATTCGGTACTATATATCGATAAAAAATATTTTTGGCACAAGAATTCGATTCTTTGATTAATCGATCTCAGATCGACATGCCTAATATCGGGTTTCGAGTCTAATCAGTGGTTAATGACATATGCTGTGGAATGGATTGACTGGAGTGTGGATTTATTATTTTTAATTTACAATTTACTGTTGTAAGCTTGAAATCCGTCTAATATTTATTTAGTTTTGTGGTTAATGTTTGCCACGTAGGATCAAGATCAAGGAATCTATGATTGTTGTGTAATCAGAAAAGATGCTGAAAATGCCGTCTATAGTTGTAATGGCTCCACCTGGGCAGCCTCTCGAGGTTCTTCCAGAAGAGCCCCCAGCGCCAGTTATCGGTAATATTTATCGTATCCGTGTACGTACGTAGCCGGTCCCAAACCCGAATAAATTAAGGAGGGTTTCATCGTTGGGCTAACCACCCAACACGAGAAAAAAAAGCAACTGGTTGTGAATCCCAACACAAAAAAAATTACCAGACCGCTTTTAACGACAACTCCGACGAATGAAAAAGGATAAACGATTTTGCCTGCGAATTGGTACTTAGTATATATACAGTTTATGTTACAAGCCGGAAAGATGAACAAGATTGGCCGCGAATTTATAAAAATACAATTTTGATCTACTCGCGCTTCAAGAAATCAGATGGCAGATTTCAGGTTATATGGACAAGGGAGATATGCACTCTATTACAGCCGCGCTTGTAAACAAGGACAACATGGTACTGGGTTCACAGTCGGTAGGAAACTGAACAACTGTATACTATGGTTCGAACCAGTAAATGAAAGGCTCTGTAAGATACGAGTCAAGGGAAGGCTATACAACACAACATAATATATCTGTGTCTATTCACCAACTGAACATTCACTTGAGGAATCCAAGGAGAGCTTTTATGAGAGTTTGCAGAAACTATGCAGAGCTGTGCCTAAACGTAATACCTTATTTGTAATAGGTGATCTTAATGCAAAAGTAGGAAAAGAGGACATATACGCAGACGTAATAGGGAAATACTCTCTGCATGACGAGATGAGCGACAATGGAGAAAGGCTGTGTAACTTCGCCGCAGCTAAAACCTCTTCATTTGCGGCACCAAGTTCCCTCACAAAAATGTGCATAAAGGGACCTGGAAAGTCCCCGGCAAGTCGCAATGGAACAAAATAGACCATATTTTGGTAAGCAAGCGGCGTCTCACGAATGTAGAAAACGTTACAGTATTCAGAGAGGCTAACTGTGACTCCGACCACTTCCTCGTAATAGCATCTTTAAAGAATAAAACGCTGAGAATCCAGAACGCTTCAGGTGAGAAACGAATAAAATGGGACTCTAGAAAAACTGCAAAATCCATTAAAACTAAGTATATCCAAACAAGAGATGGCAAACAACCTAAATAGCAACCCCCTATCAGAAAACATTGAAGAAACCTGGAATAGCATAAAACAGCAGTAATTGATGCGACTAACAGTGTAATAGGTGAGCGAAAAATTAAGAAAGACGAAAATGGGTTTGAAAAAGAATATAGAGAATCAAAATAACACCGACGAAAATAAAGAGACCTACAGAGCAGAAAGAATGAAATGTAAGAAGATGGCTAGAAGGAAAAAAAGAGACACTGATAACAAAATCATTACAAATATAGAAAACATGCGAGAAAAGAATTATAGTAGATACTTTTATAAAGAGATCAACAACCACCGTAAAGGTTACCAGCCCAGAACTAGCTCTTTTCGAGAAAAGTCCGGAACCCTCCTTACAGAAAAAACCGACGTCGTCAAGTGATGGCGTCAATATTTTGAAGAACTATATAATATTAACAACCATGTCGTAACCACAGATGCTCCAGCGTATTTTGACTTAGAAGAAAATCTACCTGCTCCCACAGTTATAAATGTACAAGAAGTTCTCCGCAGTTTAAAAAATAATAAATCATCAGGTCTAGATCCCATTACCGCAGAACTACTGAAAAGAGGTGATAATGAATTGACGGATCATATGTATATGTTGGTGTTACAAGTCTGGAATGAAGAAAAAAACCTCAGTAGAATGGAATATGGGTATTACAGTACCTGTCTTCAAAAAGGGAGGGAAAACTGCCTGTAGCAACTACAGGGGCATCTCAGTCCTCCCCGCTGCCTATAAGGTGTTTTCAGAGGTACTATATAAGCGCCTGAGTGTATATGCTGAGGAGATACTCGGGGAATACCAATGTGGCTTTAGACCAAACCGATACACTACCGACCATATCCACTTAATGAGTCTGCTACTAGAGAAAACTTATGAATATAATATTAATTTGCATCACATATTTCTTGATTTCAAACAAGCTTTCGATAATGTAAATCGCAATCAGATGTATAGTAACATGTTGCTCTTAGGTATACCTAGTAAACTAGTACGACTTGTCAAGGTGACTTTAGAGCATTCACAGTCCGTAGTTGCAATTCAAAATGAGTTTTCAGAACCTTTTAGTATATCCACGGGAGTTAAACCAGGAAATGCTGAATGAAAATAGATGAAGTGAGACTGGCGGTATTTGAAAGGAAAATGCTCAGAAACATATTTGGACCAGTCCGAGAATCCGATGGCACGTATCGTCAGCGCACTGATCACGAGCTTGATGCTCCTATAGAACGTGAGACCATCGTCAGGTTCAGCCACAGCGGCTGAGATGGGCGGGACACCTGGAACGAATACCGGATTCTAGGGCCGTGAAAATCATGACCAAGTGAACTCCCCAGCAAAAGAGACCAAAAGGCAGGCAAA